AAGGTTTTATGAAAGGTTTGCTTATTAACGTCCAGTTGCCTGTACCGACGAGGGCTTTTTTTTTATTCTCCCCAAACTTTATTTAGAGGCGCCACATCTCTGTCACTAATAACGTAAAAGGCGCCAGGCAAGACGTGTACGAATTTTTAAGTAATTACGACATGCAAATCATTTTCATTTCTTAAATCTGGCTTCTTTTTTTTTATTTTTGTCGCCAGAAGTATTCACTTTAAAATAGAAGCACTTTTATTTTGGAGAAAAAATTAAAATACTTTAAAGTTTAAAACATATGGTATTAATTTTCGCCTAAGGGTTTCAAAATCTCGAAGTACGAGACTTGAAGCTTAAATTGTTTTTTAACAGATAGTTGGAAAAATGGCCGGCTCGTTCTATCGCTCCAGGAAGTACCTGACGACTTCTGCCATTGGTTCTTTCTTTCTTTCTTTCTTTCTTTCTCACTCTGTGCCTGCCTGCCTATCTATCTATCTATCTATCTATCTATCTATCTATCTATCTATCTATCTATCTATCTCTTTTTCAATCAATCTATCTATCTATCTATCTATCTATCTATCTATCTATCTATCTATCTATCTATCTATCTCACTCTGTTCCTATCTATCTATTTATCTATCTATCTCTGTTCCCATCTATCTATCTATCTATCTATCTCACTTTTTCCTATCTATCTATCTATCTATCTATCTATCTATCTATCTATCTATCTATCTATCTATCTATCTATCTATCTATCTCACTCTGTTCCTATCTATCTATTTATCTATCTATCTCTGTTCCCATCTATCTATCTATCTATCTATCTCACTTTTTTCCAATCTATCTATCTATCTATCTATCTATCTATCTATCTATCTATCTATCTATCTATTTAAAATAGAAAGAAAACTAAACACCAGAAAGAGACAGCTGACACCTCTAGGACACATAATGAGGAAGGAGGGCTTAGAATATCTGATGCTCGCCAGAGAGACTGAAGGTATGGGTTAACCCACTTGACTTTACAAAAAAACTGCCGCTAGGGGCCGCTCCTTAATCCTATAAATAGACATTGATATTCTCTGTTATTCTCTCATTTCTCTTTGTCTTTTAGACAATAAGATGTAGGTCGTACGTGGCAAATTAGCACCCCCCACACACCGAGGAAGCCACGTTCACTTCACTTTCATTTACTTTCCTCTCGGACCTCTCTAACACAAACTCCATACACGCAGACACATTCTCTAGATTCAATGCTTTCTGTTTTTGTATTCATTGTTTTTGTCACACGTAGCATTGTCGTTTTTGTTTTTTGTCTTTTGTATATTGATTTGTTATTCAATTATTAACGGTTTCACATTCGAGTCGACAATAATTGCTGTGGGAAAAATATTTTCTATATAAATGCAGCAAAATGGCAAGAGGAAAGCAACGTAAGCTCGCTTGAGTAAATGGATGGCAGTACAAGGTTTAGGAGAGATAACAAAGAAACAAAATTTGTTATGACCTACAAACGACAGGAAATTGTGGAGAGCCATGATTGTTAACGTCCTGAAGGGACACATCACATAGTAGAAGAAGAATGAGCTTGAGTAAATGTATGGCAGAACAAGATTTAGGAGAGATAAAAAATGAACGATTAAGAGCTACAAAGGACAGGAAATTGTGGAGAGCCATGATCGCCAACGTCCTGAAGGGACACATCACATAGAAGAAGAAGAATGAGCTTGAGTAAATGTATGGCAGAACAAGATTTAGGAGAGATAAAAAATGAACGATTAAGAGCTACAAAGGACAGGAAATTGTGGAGAGCCATGATCGCCAACGTCCTGAAGGGACACATCACATAGAAGAAGAAGAATGAGCTTGAGTAAATGTATGGCAGAACAAGATTTAGGTGAGATAAAAATGAACGATTAAGAGCTACAAAGGACAGGAAATTGTGGGAGAGCCATGATCGCCAACGTCCTGAAGGGACACATCACATAGAAGAAGAAGAATGAGCTTGAGTAAATGTATGGCAGAACAAGATTTAGGAGAGATAAAAACAAACGATTAAGAGCTACAAAGGACAGGAAATTGTGGAGAGCCATGATCGCCAACGTCCTGAAGGGACACATCACATAGAAGAAGAAGAATGAGCTTGAGTAAATGTATGGCAGAACAAGATTTAGGAGAGATAAAAATGAACGATTAAGAGCTACAAAGGACAGGAAATTGTGGAGAGCCATGATCGCCAACGTCCTGAAGGGACACATCACATAGAAGAAGAAGAATGAGCTTGAGTAAATGTATTGCAGAACAAGATTTAGGAGAGATAAAAAATGAACGATTAAGAGCTACAAAGGACAGGAAATTGTGGAGAGCCATGATCGCCAACGTCCTGAAGGGACATGGCACATGGAAGAAGAAGAATGAGCAAGAGTAAATGGATGACAGGACAATGTTTAGGTGAGATAACATACAGAAAGAATTTATTAAAAGCTACAAAGGACAGGAAATTGTGGAGAGCCATGATCGCCTACGTCCTGAAGGGACATGGCACATAGAAGAAAAATGAACCTGAGTAGATAGATAGCAGAACAAGGTTTAGGAAAGATAACAAAAAGACAAAATTTGTTAAGACCTACAAAGGACAGGAAGTTGTGGAGAGCCATGATCGTTAACGTCCTGAAGGGACACATCACATAGAAGAAGAATGAGCTTGAGTAAATAGATGACAGTACAAGGTTTAGAAGAAATAACTAAAAGAGAAAATTTATTAAGGACAGGATGAAGTTGTGGAGAGCCATGATCGTCAACATCCTGAACTGACACATCACATAGAAGAAGAAGAATGGACTTGAGTCAATGGATGTCGGAACAGGGTTTAGGAGAGTTAAAAAAATGAACAATTAAGAGCTACAAAGGACAGGAAATTGTGGAGAGCCATGATCGGTAACGTCCTGAAAGGGCTGTAGCACATAGAAAAAGAATGTGATCAAGTAAATGGATACTGGAACAAGGTTTATAAGAAATAACAAAAAGAGAAAATTTATTAAGAGCTATGAAAGATAGGAAATTGTGGAGAGCCGTGATAGCCCTTAAGGGACACAGCACATGTCGAATGACCCTCATTTCATCCATATTCCTATGTAGGGAGAATGTTCCACTTGGGCATCTTTTTTCCCAAGATCTGTTACTTTGTGGAAGATGTGGATGCTTCCATGAATATTACAATCTTAACCTCTCCAAGTCAACGGTCAGTCTTTATCTATCCTCCATGTCCTGTTGTTTTTTAATCATTTCATCTCAAGCAAAAAGATAACGATTGACATTGCATTTAAATTTAAAGGCAATAAAGCCACTAGGACAAGGGGTTTAGGAGAGAATAAAAAAAAACTATTAAGAGAGAGGACAATAAAAGAACAAGAATTAAGAAGACAGAAGATAACGTCCTTGACATTGCATTTAAAAGAAAGAAGAAAGAGCAATAAAGCCACTGGACGGAAGGACTTAATGTTTAGGTAGAGAATATGAGAAACTATTTAGAAAAGAGAACAATAAAAGAACAAGAAATTGTGGACAGAAGATAACGATTGACATTGCATTTAAATTTTGAAGAAAAGGACACAAAGCCACTAGGACGAATGGGCTTGAGTGTTAGAGAATATGAGAAAAACTACTATTTAGGAGAGAGGACAAAAAAAGAACAAGAATTAAAAGGACAGAAGATAACGATTGACATTGCATTTAAATTTTTGAAGATCAAAGGCAATAAAGCCACTAAGACACAAATGGCAACTGAGTAAATGGATGACAGGACAAAGTTTTAGGAGAGATAACAATAAAAGAACAAGAATTAAGAAGACAGAAGATAACGATTGACATTGCATTTAAATTTTTGAAGATCCTGATAGCCACTAAGACATGGGCGCTACTGATGTTAAGAAAAAAACTACTATTAAGGAGAGAACACAATAAAAGAGCAAGAATTAAGAAGATATACATTGCATTTAAATTGTTTTAAATTGACATTGCATTTAAATTTTTGATGATCAAACTTGACTGGAAAGCACAAAGTAGGAAGAGAACCCCACCAGCGAGAAGTGTGATAGAAGAAACTGTTAGCATAGAACTTACGGTTGCATTTAGCCAATTCATCTGTGAATTGACGAGACCTTTTCGCCAATCTAGTACTACGTTTAAATTCATAATGTGTAGCAACCGTTGTGGATAGTTCATCAGAACAATGACCATGAAGATATTTTAAGAAAAGGTCTGGGGAATTTACATTATGATGGTAGAAAAGTAACTGAAGCCGAGATGCCAGGTCCGAACCAATGATATTGCAGATTCTTCTTTGGATTTTATCAAGAATCTCTAAATATATGGACGAATAATAGACATGATATGCAATATAATTTCTGACAAGAAAAATTGTCTAGCACGACACAGTGAATCAACTTTCCTAGCAGCAGATGTAGCAATTGATTCAATATAATCTTTCCACTTCATATCTACGGAATAGTTTAAATCGAGAAATCGCAATGAGTCACTCTCCGGGAGGTTAGCATCAGCCATTCTAATGGAAGGCAGAAAGAGGTCTGTCAGATGGCTCATAGAGAGCAGTTTGGTGGCGTTAAAATTAACAAGCCATTTCTTGCCCCATTTAACAAGTAATGGTAGGTCATTTTGGGGATCAGCTTCCAATTTGACCTGAATGAACCATATCAGATTTATTATTAAGACAGGAGGAAATAGTTTTGTCATCAGCATTGATACCGTGTTGACAACTGATGACATCAGGAAGGTCGTGGATAAAGTTTAGAAACAACAAAGATCAAAGGATAGAACCCTGAAGATAACGATTTAGATTATAATCCTTAAAGGCTTAAAATCCCAAATGACGGGGGTTACCGAAATTTAAAATATCCCTAGAAACAACTATTAAGATAGAGGGATAATAAAAGAACAAGAATGAGATAGATAGATAATAGATAGATTGCATTTAGATAGATAGATCAAATATAGATAGATAGATAGATAGATA